TCAAGTACCAGGTAATACTAAGAATCATTACACAAGTATGAACAACTTGGAAATCATCTAAGCTTTTCAGAATTGCTCCTAATGCACACTACTTTAAAGTGAAGTAAACTCTCTGTAAGGCTACATACTCTTGATTTATTATGTATGTCCTGATGCCACAATACCATTAAATGAAGCAAAATAGCTTTGACTATTAAGTTATTATTGTGCAAAATCTAATTTTCCTTCCTGTTTGAGAATGCGATCTCATGACTGTAACAGAAACACATCCTCGTCATACTTCTCAGCACTCTGTAATTCTCTGCTATGGCTACGTGCTCCTATTCAAGCTGAAAATACTTGGAACAATCAAATGTGCACAGGCTCCCTTTCTTTTCTTTTTTTCTACTCAAGCACAAAATGCAGACATACACACTCACACACACACACACACACACACACACACATACACACACTCACACAACACAGGCACAACATTCATGCCATGTGATCTTGCTAGGCATTATGCCAACGGCCAAACATGTCACTTACCAGAAATCTCTGAGACAGAGTGAGACAGCGAGAGAGAGACAGAGAGATTCTGCACATTAGTCAGTTTGTGTGAGCTCCTTGTCAAGTGTAAGTACAGTACATACACAGGGAACATGAAATGTAGCTGCCACAGTTATCTGCAATGTACTGTGGTGTGGGGGCTGTCGATTCTGAGAAAAAAAAGAGACACGTGATCTTGAGATCTAATGTGGAATTGTTCTGAGGAACATGCCATGTTTACTGTTCATTGTCTAAATTCTTGGAAGGCTTCCTGAAAAGCACATAGCGAGCCAAAGCAGCCTAAATCAGTTACACTGCAAGATTCCTAATGGCTTTTGCTGATCCTCTCTTTCTCTCATTTGCTCCCGCATTATTTCCCCACTTTTCTGTATTTCAGCATGCACATAAATGCACTGTGCGAGTGTGTGTTTGTGCATAGTAAATGACAAAAAAAAAGCAAAACTGGACTATTTGTACTTTATGGTATCAGAAACGTAGATCCATTAGCTACATAATTATCTCTGCATGGACAACAAACCACTGGGGGAATAAGAAATTCATTTACAACCACCCATATTTCTTTATGTTTTATCTTAATCTCAAATCTGTGTTTTCCTCGAGTAAGGTGGAATGTAGGAGGGACCGACAAAAGCTTGTAGCAAATTCCCAGAAATAAATTCCACCACATTACATATTAAATGAGCAGTGAATTCGAGGAACTGCCCAACCCTTTTTGTTGTGGGTTTTGAACGCACCTTTTCCACCATCAACATGTGGCACGCAAGTAGGGGCAGCAAACTAATACTGTCAAAAGTGACACATGCATATGCAAATCTTCTGGTGCCAACTGTATCAGTGAGGTCTTAAACACACATATATATATATATATATATATATATATATATATATATATATATATATATATATATATATATATATATATATATATATATATATAGACAACTTAACAACTAAAGAGCTCTCTTTTTGATTCTTTTCCCTCTTCCTGACCAAACAATTTTTACTATTGATTTGGGTGACAAATGTGACCTACTGGGCAGCTATTAGTTGCAAGACGGACCAGCAGGACATCGGCCATTTGGAGGTAATTTAGCTGCCAAGTTCACCCATTTAGCAGTCAATTTGATTTGGTGTGACTCCCAACTTAATTTTGTCTTTAATAAGAAAATATGTGGACAAGGCGAGGTCACCGGGGCATCTAATTTTGTTTACTATTCAAGAGTTGAGAACCTATAACCCTTTAAACCCACACATGGAGCTGAGTGGATACTCTTTCTCTACAGGAAGCTTTTGTATCTTTAAAGCTTTTTGGACGGTGAACATCAAAATGATCTCAGATTTACAGACTTACCAGCCATTTATACTGAACTCTAGTCCTATCACTGCACTAAGAAGAGACACAAGCTATCTTACTTTCTATTCAGTCTCTCTCTGGTATGTTAAATAGTTTAAGAGTAAAAAAAAAAAAAACTAAAAAAAGAGGAAAAACTACAAGAGAAAACATATGCATGTTGCCAAAACAGAACCCATGCCATACAGAGCTGGAAACAGTTAAGTGTAATTTGCAAGGAAAAACCACCTTGACACCTACACAGTCAATCAGAAACTACTGTGTAAAGTGTTGTAGAGTGGAGACCAACTGATTAGTCCAGAACATGCAGATACACAGAATTTCTTGATGGACTGATCTGTACTGGATCTCTGCGGCTTAACATTCAGTAGAAAGACATTTCTTCACAGATAATCCTAACTGTTTGGATTTCAGTTTCATTAACAGCAACCAACAAGTCCGGACACACCAGTATTTTTTTTTTTCTTTTATCCATCAGAGTTTAACTAGAACAGGCTCTGCCCTCCGCTGATGTATGAGAATATGATGTATGACTGGTGCCCTGTATCGCATACCATCAGCAATGACTCATTACTGTCTCAGGAAAGGAAAATCATACACACGTAAACACACTCCCCACATGAGTATGCATGCATATACAGTACAAAGAAAAGTGCACCGAGGCGGAGGGCACGCACACAGAGCAAACGAAGCAAGGACAAAAACGGTCTCCAGGTTATAAATGTAGCATGCAGTTTTTCTCTTCTTTTTAGTGTGTTATTGTAAAATACAGTAAGGCTTGAGACCAAAACCAGCATGTCGACATGTTAGTCAAGTGATGGCAAATGCTACTGTATATCTTTTACAAAGCTCTAGAGGGATTTTATAGAGGACCTCCTTTTTCTTTTTCTTTTTTTTTTTTACAGTGTCCATGTGTTGAGACAACATCAACTCTTGTTCATTTATGGGCCTAACAAGCGATGAGGCAAGACCTTCAATGAGGCAAGAACCTCACAGTCTTTGTATTTTCTCCTTCTTTCTGTCAGTATCCGCATCAATTATATCTGAGACTGTATTGTCGTTCTCTCTCCTTGACACTCCCCACTTGCACACAGCCCCGGGCCCCCTTGTGGAATGCTGTATAGTGTGAGGCCTATGGAGGAAGGGCATCCCGGGACGCAGCGAGAGCACACACGCTAACACACTCGCCAACACACGCACATACACAGACAAATACAGCTGTTGAGAGCCATCACAATCCTTTGGCAGACTTCCAAATCAAAGACGAGTGGTGTTGGAAGGCCTCCGTTTAGAGAAAAAGAGAAAAAAAGTCCCACATTCTCCATGTATGTTGTGTTAAACTCCGAATAGAATCTTGGCAGTACAAACTCATATCCTGCATTACCCCACACTGATTTCCCCGTATTGGAGGGGGGTATCAAAATACCTTGGTAAAATCTCATATAGGGCTGACAGGTAGGCCTACACCTATAGATACATACTAATTTAGGGAAGTACAGTACATCTTGTTAGTTTATGGGGTATCATAAACAACCATGATAAAATCTGTCTTTGTATTGTCTTACAGGACTGACAGGTACACCTAAAGATACACATTGATTTGAGTATTCACAAGGGAAGTGCAATATTTTTTGTTATCCCAATGATATTTTTACACAGGAGAAGCAGAAACAGATATGCACTAATATGCTCAAATACTCTCAAGTTGGATTCAAGACTGTAAACCTGTAAATTGGTGAGGGATGTAAGATGTGATGTTCACACCACACTACTTAAATTATTCATATGACTCTGTAAATCAGGCTTTAAGTAGTAGTTTTAACATCTGACCTGTGTGACACCTGTCAGGGACCAGGCTGCTAGATATACTATGAGCTACACACTTGGTCTGGGTTGTTACCGCATGACAAAGATAATACGTAGACCATAACAAAACTTGCAAATAGTTGGGATTTTTTGTTACAGTCATCTTGAGAAAAAAAACAAAAAAAACCACACACACTGTGCTTGACGGCAGACTTGAATAAGAATGAGAGCATGTGAGAGGGAAGGAAAGTGACAGGAAATGAAGAAAATTGCCACAAGCTACATGCCGGCAAGCCACACAATGCACCCATGTAGGGGGGGGGGGGGCTTATTGTATGTAGCCTATAGTCAAATGGCTCCCTGCAGGGTTCAGTTAAGGTTAACAGATCCACAACCTACAGATCTGACACTACAGCAGGGAACAGTAAAGTGCAGCAGTGAAACTTGTTTTTAACTTTTAAAATGTATTCTTAATATTGCAATCGCTCTAGCTTTTCTATCCTTAACCTTATTATTTTTTACTGATCCTTGTTGTTTCACAGCCCAAACATGTTATAGCCCATATCATGCCATTCTGGAAATGAATATATATTATAGAGAGCTTGGTCTTATGTCTGTTGCTATTTTAAAATCAAAATCATAATTTAAAGAAGCAGCTAGAACTAACTGAAAATGCTTATGATTGAGGATTTGAGATGCCAACTGTATTTGGATCACTCCACTTGTGAAATAATGTTGACAACGCGAGCAACTTCAGTAGTCCTTGTAGCAATCATGCAACATATGGACTAGCACTACAATGGATGCATTATGGGTGGGGATTTTCTTTTATTTATTTTTTTACTTCATCGTGATGCAAGACCGATCATATCATGCCACTTTCTCCAGTTGAAACTAATGACAACACTATTTCCTGCGGTTTAAAAGTGCTGCCCAACATTAACATTAGACTACAATTTTGGGTGGTATAAAGACTACAAATCTGATTAAATTCTTCTAGTGGCGCGTGGTAGGCTGCACTTCTGCGGGTATCACCCGCCATCCTCCGCGTAAAAAAAATCTTTTACATTTCGTGACATTACTTGACGAAAGTTTAAGAGTCTCACTAAGTTTATCTGGTAGTTTTATCAGCATTAACTCTCGTGCTGTAATGTCAGCAGATTGTCCGGCGTGTGCAGCTGCCTATCGTAACTAAAGGAGGAGAAGCGAGGGAATAATGCATGGTAAAACCTATGCGTCATACAAATCAGGCACTGTAAACATCAAGCCAAGACAGAGGGGGGATATTTACCCGATATGTCGCTATTCCATCAACTGCGGCTGTCAGCTGGCGCATATGTGGCAGGTCTTTCTCTTCGAATAACCTATAAAGTTTGCGGGGTGTAAAAAAAAAAGAAGCAGGCCCCGGTTTCCCCTCGTCCGCTGGCTCACTCTATCACTCTAGTCCTATCTTGGCCGCTCGTCCCCCATCTCTCTATCCCACTCTCTCTTTCTCTCTCTGCCCGCTTCTGTCCCTTTGCAGGAAGTGAACGCCGCTCACATGAACAGTATACGGACTGCAAGCAGCCTGACATCATGCACCACTCGGTAAAGAGTTCTTTTTAAAGACACAGACATTTCTGGTAGGACCTGCCAGGTTACTGTAGGTACACTGTCCTACTGTAGTCTACGCGGTCAGCAGCGTTCGGTCATATCGTGCGCCTTTACGGACACATGAACCCGGTGCACTCCTGTGGCCTTAAAGGTGCAGACTACTGTACTGTAGGTTATAACAAACCCACCAGATGACCACCACTGCGTGTAATGTGTTACGAAAACACAACGTGTGGGCACACTTGGAGCTACAAGTAACACAGGGTTGCCTTGTTGTGCTCCTAGAGAACATTTACATGTGTGGTTATCTCGCGTGTCCTTACGTGTTGGCAGCTCAAGCTACATGATGCGCATGTGTGCTATTCTGCTAAATTATATGCGCCAACTGCTGGCAGTGTGACCTCAAGTCAACTTTCTTTTCTGCAGGCATACAATATCACAGTGCCAGAGCCCACTAAATCACTGTTACAGGGCCTGCTGTACTTCATAGTGGCAGAATATTCGTCTTTAACATCTTTCTGGTCACCATGGTCAATTGACATAGAATGCAAAATTATATTTAAAATTTTACAATACCTTGCATTAACATTTTAATATAGTTTAACATTCTATATGTTACTTCTTGTCATGATTTACTCTTTGTACATATCCACAGCAGAGTATCACCCACAGTATATTAATATACTTCATACTAATAGCCATACCCTTACCCTGTGTTGGAAAATGTATTAAAATCTAAATAAAATGAAACATCGCGTGAGAAAGTCCCTAAAAGAGTTTTCAAGTGATTTGAGGTTCCCTTGATTTTTTAAATTATTTATGGCTGATTGTTGTTTTTTGATATTTTGGGGGTTCACTTGCATTTTATCTCTTTTAGAACTAACATGCAAACAAGAAAAATCAAAATAAACTTGTATTCACTTGGATTTTAATCAGTGCCCAACCTCAGTTTGTGGATAATTTTTCGCCTGTGAAAGCTGATGATTAAAAAAGTCTTGGCAGGTGAATTTTGTTGTTGTTGTTGTTTTTGTAATACTCATTTTGGCCACAAGAGGCAGAAGTCCACCACTACCCCAGTATAGCTAACGCTAACGGCAGGTTAGCGCATATTCAAATACATTTCTAGCCAAAAGAAAGACATGACAGTAATGTTACATAACTTGCTCAAACACAATCTCTACGTATGTGTTTAGAGCATAGACTTTATAAAAAATGGACGTAGTGTACGTGATGTCCCCCCTTGGTTTCTGAAGAGTTGTTGTGAAGCTCAATGTGGGTGGTTACATCCTGATTTATGCCTAAATTTAAGTCTTTAAATAATATAAATGGGGATGAAAAATGACCCCCATACAGTTGTCATGAAGGGGGAAATTAGCTATAGAGACCAACACTACTTTTTGTACCAGGCTGTAAACATATTTATTTCTGTTGTAAAGTTGGGCATTTTAAAGGAACCTTTTGTAAGACTTGTTTTTTTGTGGGATGTGGCGTTCTGATGTAGCGAATTTGTAACTCAGGACTCATCAGCAGTTTCTGCCCGGTTGTGCAGAGTTCTGAATGCATACCGAGAATTTCATGCACCTCGCGGCTGGTAACGCTCATTTGTGCTGAGAAAAGAGGTAGATGCAAATCTTGGCAGGTAGCCTTCATCATCTGTTCCCGCCGAATTATTAATTCACCTCTTAAAGGTCCTTTTCAGATACTTTGCTCTGCACACTGATCAAACGGGGTTATCACTGCATATTTTTGCTGAATCTCAATGAATGCTACTTCTACTAAGTAGAATAAAAATATTAACGACTCTAAACGTTCATAAAATATATTCTTTGAATCATTTATCACCATTGATGAACCCCACAAAGGATATTATAGTATTTAAAAACATTATTTGGAGGTGCATGCAATTCTCGACAGGCAAGCAAAACTGGCATAGCAAGCGATCTAATAAGTTATTGCTTACTCGTTCAACCGCTCACACCAACGAGTAAAAGCCTATATCAGAGAACGTCTTCTTCCGCCTCTTCGCAGCCTTTGCCATAATATCCATACTGAGATTACTGAGCTAGCTTCTTCCAAATAACTTATGTTGTACATTCTATACTCTTTGCTTCTTCTAATATCTAGCTTGCTGAAGAGGTTTGTTGGTGTGATGTGGTGCTGTAAGGCATTATGCTGTTCTTGCAATCGATTTCCTACACAGGATTTCAATGGTACATAGAGATATATCAAGGGCCCCGGGCCTGGAGTAGCAATGAAAGAGACACTAGTCACCTTATTGAAGTCACTGTACCATAATAATAATTTTTAAGCTGTAATTTTAAGATACAGATACTACGTAATGGGCCAAACTCAAGTGGCCATTCGAGGAACTGCAGTTTGCCCTTGGTTTAGAGTGCATGGAGATATTAAAAATCACCTGGAATAAAACACAAAAGCTATTTAGAACACGGGGTTGTGGTGCACTCCAGCCTCTTCCTGATGAAATGAGTAACAACAACAACAAATTATCCTGACAAAAAACGTTTTTATTTTCACAGATGAAAAAAAGTAACTTAAAAAAATGATCCTGGCAAAACTTTTTTTTTCATCTGCCAAAACATTTTTTGCACCTGTTTCAAAGATAAAAGATGTTTTAAGGAACTTTGAAAGATTATCCTGGCAAACCCCCTTTTTTTCTTCTTTTTTTTAAGTCTTAAACAATTTAGATCAGATTTAGAAAATGGATGGCCACATTTTTTCTCATTTGCCTCTTAGGGCTTCCATAGATGTCATAGTTTTTTGTTGCAGACATGTTTCTTTCCTAAGTCCTTCATCATCTTGTGATCCGTCAAATGTATTCCGTGACCTTTTGTCATCTCACTGTTTAAAAGTACTTGTATGTGCTACCCAGTCTTCTGCAAATTTCAAAAGAAATGTATTTATCTGTACCATAATGAAGAATCACTCTGTGATATTTCTATATGAGCTTACAGTCGGCTGATGGCCTTATTGTACTTCTTGGTATTTAAAAAGTGTATGGTACCACTATAATATTCCTATAGGGACAATCATGCGGTTGTGGTAACAGTGGTGTTTATGATAACCTCATTGTACTTTAGGTCTATGCCATTAGTACAATTATATTCTCATTAATGTTTATAAGGAAATTAAAGGTTTTCATTATGGCTTATTGTTCAGCTGAACTAGTAAAACTGTAGCCTAATAAAATGGCAGCTTATTTTGTTCGCTGTGAATGACATGACTGAAGTTGACATGATTGTGTGAAATCATCAGTTTCTAATTCATTCAGGGTGATCCAACATAGGCTCGATATTTAAATGGTTTACAGATTAACGCATCATACTGTGTTATATATTTTTCATGAATCAAGTATCCTGGGAGCCAGTGAAATCTGTGAGTTCATGTTTCATTTGCTCTGGCAGATACTAAAAGAGGAACTGCACTTAAAGCTTTTGCTGTGCATTTCCCACAGGATTTGGTAGTTTTAATTGACCAACAACGCAACATCACATGTTTCCTTGCTTTGATTGGTTGTAGGTCTATCCAATTATGTCCAGAAGCGAAACTATTGAACTGATTGGCTATGCCAGGCTAGCGTTCAAGGGTTCAATGTCTGGACTGGAAGAAGGTAATCTAACATAGAAGACGTGGCACCAATGTTGATTAATGGTCAAGACACAAAAATGGCAAGTCATTCAGACTAAGCAAACAACTTTAAAAAAAGAAAGAAGAAAAAAGAAGAAATGAAAATCAGTAGGCCATGACTTAATCATCAAGCCTACCTATTGCACTATATTGACATCACAAGACGATTCATGTTCTCTATTTCTCTGGTGAAATTTGGCCTGGCTCAGAGTATGAGGCATATGATGTGTTGATCCTCTGAACAAAAGCTTATTGTTGCCCCCCGATTAACCATTTACAGCCTGAGGCCATACCAGTCTCAAGCATGTCTCAGTCAGGCCACTGTGTCGAAAGTTCATATCTAAAGATGGCAGGCTGGGAGTTTCCAGCCTCTTTTGCTTGGTTTCCTGCAATAACCGGTGATAAACATGGAAGTCTAAGCTGATGCTTGTGCATGACAGCACATACGCAAAATTCAAATCTTCACAATTATACCAGGTTAAGCGTAAACCGCTTATTTCAGTGCCTCAACCTGTTGTGCCCTCGTTAGATCCTGTAAGCATACTTCATGCCATGTGGAAATGAGGCTATATAAGGTGATTGGGACACAGCCATTTCCATTGTTATGCTTGGCAGTAACAGTGGGGTCTAGTTGTGGCTGGTGTTTGCGTGCTGGAGGAAGCTAAACAGAGAAGTCTGTCAGAGCAGCTCTGAAACAATGTGAAGGGCGACTGATGGAACACTTGACCCAAAGATGTTCTCAATTTGAACTGTCACACACTCTTATGACACAGCTCGAGGCATGCCATCATGGGTGTAAGTCAACACAGTTAGCACATTAATGCGTTTTAAAGCAAAACAAACCCCAAAACATTTCATCAACAAAAAATTTATTTAATAACTTTACAAAAAAAGTTGATGTTCTCCTATTCTGCCCCAGCCTTTCCACAAAAGCACATTACGCACATACACTGTTGACGACTTCACTTGTTTTTTGGTCACTTTATCCACCGTAAGATCCAGCTTCATTTCTGTGTTACAAGTTTACAAGTGTCTTTTTTGAGTACAACATTATCGAAATCATCTCAACCTGGGGATCACGGTACACTTCTGAGTTTAGAGCCCAACTCGTGTTTTGGCACAAATGACTGTCTTGCATCAGATCCCGCCATGATGCACACCAGTCATATGTTAAGTCACTTTTCCATGCAACACTTAAGTCACATTTTCCATTATTGTAAACAAATGGCTTTCCAGACAGAATGCCCCTTTAAAATGTGTTAAAACGATTTACAAATGGCATGAAAAATAGAGATTTTGACCTTATTGGTCCCTTAACAGTCCTACATGATGACTCAGTTCTGACTCATGTTCAGACCGACTTCATGCATCCTTTTTTATGTTAAGCAACCAGGTGGTTTTCTCTCAGTTATTTAGGACCGACAATTGTAAAAGGACTGTACATATAGATGTTACACAGATTCTAACTGGATTCTATCTTTTCTGAAACTAAACCAATTAGATTTTAAGTCGATGTCACATGGGTCTTTTTTACTTGAGCTCAGAGTGATACAGAGCAGTCTGACAGGACATGCTAAAGTGGTACGTTGTCCCGTAACACCACATAATGCTGAAGTTACAGTGTGAAGCATCCACATCATACACCACGTTTCCTACGTCGCTCACATTGCAGCTACATGTCCACGAACACCATGAAGCACCAGCCAAGCCCCCCCACCAGAAACATGGTGATCTGCATGCTGTAGATGATCAGGTCATTAAGCACCCCAAAATCCAGGCGCCTGTGCCCTAACAAAAGCAGAATGACAGATAGCTTGTACTGCAGCCGCAGGAGTACGCGCACGCTGACGTACTGCAGGAAGAAGAGTACAGAGAGCGCCACCCAGAGCAGAGAGGTGAGCAGACTGCAGCCAAAATAGAGGAGGAAACGGAGGAAGCTGTACATGCAGCGAGAGCGCAGGTAGAGGTCAAAGTTATTGTACTTGGTGCGCACTAGCTTGGAAGTGTGCGTCGACCCACAGGCCGAGTGCATGCAGGTGGTGTGGGGCCCATGGAAGCTGCGCACCCGCCGTGGGATGGGGATCACAGGCATGGATGGGCTACTGGAGCCCAGCGTAGTGCACAGGAGTCCCAGTTACAGGTGGAGTCCTCTGTGAGCGCTGCTTCTGGGGAGGTAGGTAGCTTCATTTGGTTGTGGTGCAAAAGGTGGCTCTTACAGGAGCCCCAGGAGTGAGATGTAGCTGCTGGTCGTGTCGGTCTGCTGTGAACTCAGCACCGCAGCAAGGTTTTCTCCTTCGAATGCAGCAAGGTTCTGTTAAGAAATCACATTGTTGCTGCATGTTATTTTTGAAAATGCACATGCATACACTGTTCCAAAAATGCAGGCCTGTTCATACATTTTGAAAACACAAGTATAGATACATTTTAAGAGACAGATTCAAACCACGGACTGAGCATGAAGCTACCTTTTATGTTTTAATAACTAAATCACAGCTAGCACGCGGTATACCCTGCCACAAAGGACCTTTCATCCATGTTCTGGTCTAAAATGATCGTGCAGAACCAATGGTATTAACCTTACATGGAACACTACGACGTCTTCCGCCTCCTCACCAAAGAAGCTGGTGTTTGATTCTCAGACGACAGGATCATTGTATCACATTATAAACAGTTGGCTGTGACATAAACACACGGGATTTATTTTGTTTTTATTCCCCCTCACGATGCACTGTTAAATGCCAGCGAAGATGAGGCAGCGACGACGAGCCGGTGCGTTTACGTCCTGTCGCAACATATACGAGTCATCCTGCTGTGACGACAGCTGTCGAGTTAAAGGGGAAGTGCTCCCCGAGAAAGGACGCTCGCTTTGGATATACTGTTATATATTTGGCCATTGCAAACACCTCATGTTAAACAGTACAAACCAGACAACATAGACTGAGCTGCCAAGTTATCATATAACGATAGAAAACATTCTTACAAAAGATAAATTAACTAAATATAAGTAAATTAAATAAATAAAATAAAGTCTCAACAACATATGAACAAATACGTTCTTATGAATAACCAAGGCTTGTTTGATTTTTATACATGTAGGTCTACTGTAATGCTTTTTTACAATTAAATAACTCATTAATGTGAATAAATTTTTAGCCATAATAATCAAGCTATCACAGCATTTTCCATTTTTTACTCAAAATTTAATATCCTTATACTGTAATTTGGGTGCTTGACCATCTTTTTCAGGATTTCACCATAAAAAGTGTGTGTGTGTGTGTGTGTGTGTGTGTGTGTTTCTGTGTGTGTAGGTTTGCCACAGTGCATTGGGAAATAAAAGTCAGATGATCTGAGTTTGCGTCTAGGTCCTAAACTGCATTGGGAAAATTAGTAATTTTCCATAGTCTACTTCCCTACAACAAAGGGAAAGTCAGGTCACTTTCACAACCACCTGGTCTATAGAATAATTATCTACAGCACTGATGGCTTAAAAAAATAAAGCAATGAATCATTATGTCCCTCCAATATGTCACAAGATTTGTGGAGTGCAGTGGTGGGAGAAATTGGCTATTCAGAGCTTTTATATTAGTAAATGTAACAATACAACAATGTAAAAATATACCATGCATTTATAATCCAGAAGTAGTAGTCATAAAATGTACTTAAAATATCAGAAGTAAAAGTATTTGTTGTGCTGTAAAATGTCCAGTGAGACTGATGCTTTGTTCTGACATTATTAGATTTTTAATACTGATGCGTAAGCAGCGTTTTACTGTTGTAACTATTCTAGGTTTAGCTTGTTTTAACCACTTTATGCACAGTTATCTGGTTTAGTCCAGTGGTTTTGGATTCATGGATAACGGATGAAGAAAAAAGTCTGACAGACAAATCTGTTTTCAGATTTTCTTTGCGCTTTTCTCTAGTCTTTGATTTTTTGAAAAAGTTTAGATCATTTGACCTCTTTGGACTAAAATAATAATTTAAACTAAACCATTTGAGAAGTTTACAGGGGAAAACCATTTTTGGTGGAATAACTCAAAGACACCTGAAACAAGAGACAAGAAGCTCAAAAGAAAATCAAAAGAAAAAGAAAAAGGTAGAGAACCACATTTTTAATCTTTAACAGTGCATTGAATTGGATAAGCTTCTCATATGTTTTTTTATGTAAAATCTTAATCTGAAAGGTAACTAGTAACTGCAGCAGTCAAATATATGTAGTGAAGTAAAAAGTAAAATATTTCCCTCTGAAATGTAGTGGAGTAAAGTATCATAAAATGGGAAAAAAATAAAGTACCTCAAAACTGTACTTAAGTACAGTACTTGAGTAAATGTACTTCCCACCACTTTTGCAGTCTTGGAGAAATTTGACAACAAATACGCAAGATTCATACACTGAAACATCACATTGATCATGTAGCGTTAAATTAATTTTCAACACTTTCTGATTAATTCCAAGTCGGTGGACATGTTTATCACATTATCTTGTAATCAGTATTATTGCTATCACCTATCTAGCTACCCAACTGCAGAGGGCTGATTACCTTTTCCATTACTTTTCATACTTGTTACAGAGGAAGTAAAGTCTTATGACTATACTGTACCTGCAGCAGTTCGATCAAAGAAAAAAGATGTGGCAAAGGTCATGTGTGCATTTTATGTGTCTGTAAACCTCACACAAGGTTGTACAGTGCGCTCACACGCACGTCCTTTGAAACGTGTTCCAGCCTCTCACTCTGTATATCAAGTAACCTTCACTGTGCAGATTTATGGGTTGGCCGAATGATTACATCCCAGCTATCTGTCAGCAAGCCAGATGGTAGCAGGTGATGATAAATCACAATAAATACAGCGTTTTATTAAAAAAAATAAGTTTATTACAGTTGTTAATAGTGTGTTGGATCACTTTATTGAGAAGTTTAAAGGTGTATTATGCAAAATTAGAAAAACAAACCTTATAATATTTAATCAAACATACATAAAGCTGTCACTGAGGCTGAATATATTAATCGGTGTGCTTTCACATTATGATTGAGTTTAGTAATGAAATCCATAGCATAATAATTTTGAGTGGCAGTCAAAGTCTGAAGACAGTTTTGGCCACACAAATGAAAATATTTGTGTTTATTAAAATGGAGAGTATTTTCTTTGTTCACAAGAGAGCACTCACTGTCCGCTACTGTAGTGCCATACTGGGCTGGAATGAATCCCATTTGTGTACAGGAGATACTTTTATATTGAATCCTGGTTCACAAACAATCAGTTCATCAAATCTCATCTGTTCCCATGAAAGCAAAGTGTCATCTGCTACCTTAGTCGACATCAAAGCTGTACTAAACGTGTGTGTTGGCCAGAGGCAACTGACTGCAGCCTTAAAATCCTCTTACCACCAGCCATCTATATTCAGCATGTTGTCGATAGTATTGTTGCATGATACTTTTACCTAAACAGCTTAGTATTCTCCATGAAGGTTCCCTGATAAAGAGTTTTTAAAGCTCAGGTTCATCATAAGCACATCTGTAGAAATCATTGGAATCAGCTGCTGTCAGTGCTCTCCCATTTGCTCATGTAATGTTATTGCTTCTGTGCAAACTTGATATTTGTCAATCAAAAGATAACAACTTTCACACAATTGTAAAAAGCCATGTGTATAGCATGAGCTGAGCATGCTTTGTCCATGCGCTGACATAACCAGAACTCACATTATCTAGTAGTCTCACATGTAGCACCTGTTTTCACTCAAGCCTAGATATCTCTTCAGTCTAGGGGTCTAAGCCAATCATTCCAAGAGCATGCCCAGAGAGGGACAAAGGCACGTAATGCTTAACAGAATGAATAAGTGATCAAACTTATGATTCATACTATTTGACTTTCACAACTCTTGCCTCAGAAAATAGAGACGTCTCTTCATTTTGAATATTAATAGACACAAGTCACATCGGGAAATTTGTCACGGAAACCCAAACATATAATTATGGCTGCTTACTGACTTGAGGCCTCATCCATATATCATTCTGTTTAATGTACACGCTGAAAATCTATTTATGAGTTGTACCATCAAAGCTTATTCGTGTGGACTAACCTTATCACTGTATACGCCAAATAGTTCACCTGTAGCCACACAAATCAGTTCCCTGTACTGTAAATCACTTAGTTATCGCACATGTTTGGCAGTAACTTGGTTAACACCCTTCCTTTGAGCAATAATCTGTTTTCTAACTTTGCTCTGAATTGGATTTTTGATCCCTTTGGGACCAGATCCTTCTGTGCAGGTTGTTGCAATGTTCCCCCCTAGATGAGGTGATTCCATTTGGGAAGAAACTTTTCTCCGAATCTTCCCCTGTAACTCCATCGCGAGGTGTTCTTATAATGGGTTGCACTATTTTCTGGTAAGAAGATTAATGGTAGCCATTTAGAAAAGAAATGACTTGACAGTTATCCTTGCTTGCTTGTCAGGTAGTGAAGAACTAGATCCCTTTCTCACGGATGAATAATGTTGGCATAGCAGGAGAGGACACAGGTAGATCAAATGTAGAGGACAAGGCATCAGAATGATCTCCATGTGAGTTCACATTCATGCTGATATGCAAACATGGGCATTAAATTTATGCAAATATGGATTTATTTCATCAGCTGAGGACCAATCTGAAAAAAACAGAAACTTGTAAAAAGAAAATTTCTAGTTCAAGAGAAATGTCAAAGGAAATGTTGCAGTTAATTTGGTTACACTTTGATGTAAGCGCACAAATTCAAGTATACTCTTGACAAGGGCACTTCTTAAACCTGCCATCGCCAATCAGCTGTTTTTTAAATGAGTCGCAATTACACAAGTTGACCTATTTACAAGGCTCACTGATCAAACAGAACAAAGTAAAGTTTGAATTTAGCTGTGATGCCAAGTTCCAAATTGATGTTTCACAATGGGGCGCTCTGACATAATCTGCTCACAGGAAAACAGGCCCACAGTGAAAGAAATCCTATGGTGTTATTGTAGTTTGAATATCAGTCATATAGTATAATAATATTATCAGAGACCCAATATTTTCCCCTTTTCACATTTGTTTGCATTGTTTCTAACATTTCTTTTTATTTTCAGTATTCATGAGAAACAGAAATGTTTTTGATTTTCTGCCACTGGAGGGAGCTGTTGGCTCAGGTTTCACTGCATGTTGGACAGCGCTTTCCAATGGAACGCTTAAGAGGAACAGCACATTCAAGGGCATATGGCATCAAGCTATCCCTCTTATATAGACGTATTTGAACAAAATCCAGTGCCTACATTATTGCTGTGTGATGTATATGTGATAAATGCACACATACAGCACCATTACAGCACAAATACCACTAAATAGTGCCAAGTTTAGATGTTGCCTCCCCCCTCCCACACACACACAGCTGGTTAATAACAGCATCCAAGCTGAGGAAGCTCCTCTGTCTCCTACCATTATCAAGAAAAACGATGTCAATAAAGTGGATGCTTGTGATTTAGGCATCAAAGTGCCCCTGTAAAGGATGTTTCCTGGTTCTAATCATGCATTATGGCAATATTATTAAACCATATTTTTCTCTTCCAAACATGAAGACCTTTAGAGTACTGCCTCATCTTCCCAAAGGTGGAGGTTGGTCAGGGAAAGCAGACTCTGTGTAGGTTTAAGTTTCTTTCCAAGTAGTTGAAGAATGGAATTAAATAATGTCATTGCCGAGGCTCCTTCTTTATTCCTTGACGAACTGCAGAAGGCCTTTGTACGTGTAGCCTTGTGGAGTGGCAATTGCAATCCACAGCCATCCGCCCTCCA